ACCAGGTAGGTTACCACGGCGAGCGATGTTCGCCGAAGAAGATACAGAGTGGAAAAAAGCTATGGGTGGTTAAGTTAAGACCTGACACGAGGGTATGAAAACCCTGAACAGGAGTCTGGGTGACATAGGTCCTGTTAGGCTCCCTGGCTGGGGACCTCGGAAGATCGTAACCGATGGTTAGAGACACTGAGTGATATGGCTGGGTGTCGTAAACAGTGGCGTTCGTGCATCTCAATTTTTTCTCAGCCTTAGACTACTGAACTTCTCCATTTTTTTCTCGACTCCACTTTCCTTTCTTCTCCTATTCTTCATCCCAATGGGCAGCCAAAAGGCAGCAACCAAAACCGGCGCACGAATATGTGTGGTTAATGGTTGTTCAAACTGAACTGAAACAAGTAGCTAGCCTTGCCTCTTACCCTTTAGAAAGCCGAATAGATTCAAGACTGCCATCGCTCACTTTTGAGCAGTCAAATGGATCCTAGCCAATCATTTTCACCCTGTCATGTCCTCCAGTTAGTAAATGTCCCACGAATATTAAAAACAACCACCCCTGTATCTCACCCTATCCGCGACCTAATATACAGCTCTACTCTTACCGAGGTATATTTCTCACAAATATCGGCTGATTTTCCGTCTGAGCAAGGCATCGCACTTTTTAGTGTTAACCGGTGTCACATCAGCTCAGGTCGGTTATGGAGGATTTAGCTCATTGCATACGCAATGACATCAGATATACGGCCACAAAAGAAAATTTGCTGTCGGAGTTGAGAAACCGCAAACATTATATCTTCAGATAGTGTAAGTTTTCTGGTATCTTTAATCCTATACTACAGAGTAACAAGACAGCAGCCAAAACCGGCGCACAATTATGCGTGATTAATGGTTGTACAAACTGAACTGAACAGGGTAACAAATACTATATCTAGCTCTTCTATGGTTCACTGTCAAGGTGACGGCCGATGCAATAATTTTTTTATAAAACATGAGTGTGATGAACAGCAGACGGGGCGAACACCATAGTAACGAGGATCTGCTGTTCATTGGTGGAAACCGACAACCTAAGACCCGGTGCTTAGAGTGGTGAACCACAGAAGGCCCCAATTAGTTGCGAACGTTTCAAAATATCTGTACTGAGTGACCTATGTTCGGATGTTCTCCTTGGACATGGCTTACTCAGTCTTCACCAGAGCGTTCATAAATCATTTGGCGGAGAGAAAATTCCGTTTACGGTTTGCTCATTCAGGCCGGCTTCCATAGTGTCCCCGCCACTTTTTCATAATCTGTCTACACATTTCACGCCTTTCACCACAAAATCCCCACGATACAGCAAGGATAATCAGGCACTCATACGCGAAGAAATAAATCGACTCCTGTCTGACGGTATCATTGAGGCCTCTAACAAGCCGTGGCGCGCTCAAGTGCTGGTCACTGCATTTTCATGTCTTTTTCGCATTCCTGCTTTTTAGCCTTCCACACGAAGCTAACATGAAGCGCACAATTGAGGTTGGTGATCAATTACATCCAATAAACGTTAGTTACAGGAGCCGGTTACGTCTACTGTAGGTACTTCACGGAGTTCGGAAAGCGCAAAGGATTGTAGAAAACGTAAGACACTCCGAATTCAATACCTGGCGGAAAGCGTTCGGTCGCGTGAACTTACTGTGTTAAAAATGAAACAGGACATTGAAAAGGTCAGTTTTCCACCCATTTTGTGACAGTTCTCAATTAGCTCCTAGATGTTTGTCATCGTCTTGATCAAGGGGAGGTGCCGCATGAGCTCTTGCGGGAACTACGAATTCCAGTAAACACCGATTGGCCTACCCCACGTTCCGTATCATATCCGTATGCTAATACTTTGTCTGTCTAATTTCCTGACGGGAAACATTCCTACCACGAGTTTCTAGTCATTCCAAGACACCTGCCGATATCTTTTCTGTGTTACGTACTCATCATTCCTCCATCTGACGGCTTCTACTTCAGACGATGATTTACTAAACACATTTACTGTCTTCGTTATCCTTCTCAGCATAATATTTAGCATTGAAATATAACTCTCATTCCGGACTTGCGTACTGAAAAATTGAGTGGAGATGAAAGCGAAAGACTGGGCCTATGACCTCGTGTGTAGACCATAAGGTGGGGTATCAGGAACGAGGTGATGAGATTCGGACACAACCTCTGGTGATGCAACAGTGTTTTGTGCAAGCTGTTTACCGTTGCGCTTATTTTATTTATGTTCACACACACTCGAGTTCGTAATATGCAAAAGAATCACCGCGTGATAATCTTTTAACAAGGAAAAAATGTCCATAATTTGCTGCGATACTGCTAAATTGCCCAGGCCAAAGCAGGTGAGTTTTCTTAGGGAGTTCACAACTGTAGTCTTCGCTAGCTAAGGGCTGACCCGCACAACGGCGGGGCGGTGTGCAAAAACCGCAATCCATTGCGGGCCGATGTCCAGCTCACCGGATCGTACTCTCACTCGATGATATCATACGTTCAAGATGCCCAATCGAGCCGGTGATTACTGTTTGATGCTTACGCTTCTTATTGGTTCTTTTGGAATCAGGGTATTTAGCCTCCTAGGTGAACTGCCAGTGGTTCACTAACCCGGTGGGCAAACACCACCACATGAAAGAATTCCTCAGTAAAAGCTATTTGAGGCGCTTGGTGGTATGAGAGCATTTTGCTGGGTGCTAGAGAGGGATGACCAGCTTCATTCCGAGACACCCGCCTCCGACCATGCTGTGGCTTTTAAGATTAAGGAACGAACAAATGATTGCAGCCGTTGACTGTTTGATTTTTGCACCTATTAGGATTGCATTGAACTTTAACAATAGCGACCAGAAGGTTTCAAGCATTCCTTGTTACAGTCTGCCTCCGAAAGCGTTTTCCTTTTTACAAAGATTACTGTATCATTATTTGTTTGGCACACCGTCTTCCCTCAGTCTTGTGTGAGATATATACCCGTTTATTTTTACCATCCCTTTTACAGCAAGCATTAATACGAAGAGTGAAACGATTTCTCGTATCATAGTTTTTCTCTAAGACGAGATAACTCCACTCCTCAGTCCAACCATCGATGTAATGCGTTGTCCATCAAATTACCACTTGTACCATCAGGCGGCTCAACAATTGTAATGCTCATTTCGACATAAAAAACCAACTGAACCTAAATAGAGACTCAGAGTTAATGCCAAAATCATGGTTATTAAAATTTTGAAAAAAACTCACTAGAACCTAATGCACAAGCAATGAAACAAATACGTGATATCTAAAAGGTTGATTGTAGAAGAACCAGTATGAAGGGGGAAGTTTAGTCGGAATGGCAGCCATACGCCCTGATAGCCGTTGCGAGTAAGAGGTGAGGTTTCGGAAAATTTATTCTGGTGGCAATGTGTTGACGTAGTCACGAAAGTAAGCCAATGTGTTTTGCAACCCTTCCTCCAGGCCAACCACAGGTTCCCACTGCAACTGTTCTTTGGCCACCTGTATCAAAGGTCGGCGTCGTTGAGGGTCATCAACCGGGATCGCCTGGTGCACAATGGGACTGCTGCTGCCTGCAAAAGTGATAGCGACAAGATCGTTTTTAACCCCAATGAATAATCTCATGGATTGTATTGGAGCACATGAATGAAGCAGGTCAAATGCGCGTTCGTGCCTGCCGGATTATGAATTTATTAAAGCACAAAACGAAACGCTAAGTTCATTAACCAATTCTGAAATAGGCAATGTGCCAGCACTGCAGAACAGAGGACGTATAAATAAAGGGATCCACTCGAAACTCAGACATTTCTCCATCGGCAAAGGCATTTCATCCCACAAAGTTGAAGCTATACGGTGGTAAGAACTCATGGTACTTGGTATTATCACGCAGGTAATCAAGAAAAAGCAACCGTTTGGTACTCTTAGGGTTAGCCGCGTGATAAGACAATGTAGGGTGTAGTTAGATATTGATGGTTTTCCTTTACAAACAGACAAGACGAACAATCTGTTCGTCCTCTGGTATCTCGTGTTGTCCCGACTCTTACGCGTCGAGTTCACCAAGTTTGACAGATGAACACTCGATGTTCGATATTCATTACGACACCAAAAGTGAGAGCATTTTCTCTTCACTCTCGAGCAAAGTAAACAGCTTCTTTTCGAGACCCAGATAGCAAAGCAGTAACTTTATAAATCCGAACTTGAAATTATCAATGGTTTCCGATAAGCAAAAGCAAATAAAAATGAGGGAATGACATTTTCGGTAAACAGCGAACGAGTTGAACGTGACATGATACAGTATTCTACAAAATGAACAACACTTGTATAACAGGTTGTAAAGCCCATTTCCATTATAACTTCAACCTAATCGCTAATAGGATCCATTTGTCAGTTATCGTTGAACATCACTGCCTTTAATCGATTGGAACCCAGATAATAAGGCGAGTCAGAGGCGTAAATTTTGGTGTCGCCGTTATCAACTACTTGGTAGCGATGTTGGCCAGTCCTATTCCACGGTGCAGAGAATTGACCATTACGGAAACAGGATAAAAATAGATTGTCGGTGTTCGAACACCACTGTCTACGTCGCACTGCACGAGTCTGGTGGGGCTGTTTTAGGTAATCACTGTTGTCCACCGTAACAAGTGGCCGAACTTTATAGATTACGTCGGTTGGAACATTATTGCGCATGTCACCAAATAGGTTGCCACGGTGAGCGTTGTTTACTGAGGCAGGTAGCGGATGAAAAGGGGTCAAGGGTGGTCAAACTAAGACCTAGCAGGAGTATAAGAAAACCCTAACCAGGACGCTGGGTCACATAAGTCTCGTTAGCACCCCGTGGATGGGGACCTAGAGATCATGGTCACCGGAGACATTGAGTGTTATGGCTGAGTGTCGCGAACAGTGGCGCTCGTGCATCTACTCATTATTCTTGCAATCACAGTTCATATGAATTCTGTATCTTCTCTTTGACTCTGCTCTCAACATTTCTATCTTCATTCTGCTTTTTTATCCAAATGGGCAACCAAAACCGGCCCACGAAAGTTGATGGTTGCAAAAACTGAACTGACGAAACTCGCAGCCAGGCGGGCAACTTTTCTCCTGTAGTGTAAATCCAGCTCCAGGAGGACATCAGCTGCAACATGTCAAAATTCTTGCAGTAAAAACATAAAGAGCATACTTCTCTTAGAGAGGTCAACGTCTGGAATAGACTACTAAATGAGATTGTCTCGGGGTACACGCTAGCATCAAGCTCGACCTATTCAAAGCAAGGCTTGATGAGGCGTGGGACGTAGTTTTCCCCGACTCACCCTTGAGGAATAAGTAAGCAGTACTTAGTGGTAGCTTACATCTTTATCCTCCTTAATCCTTCCTCAACCCTCACCTTCTTTAACATTAGCTATTTTATTCCTAACTATCCACCTTCCATTCATCCTTATTTATCCTAATCTAAGCTGTCCACGATCTCCTCCCCGGACCAGCTCACTTGTCTTGTCTTTGTATGTCCGCAGGTTCTCTGTTGCCTCCTGGTTTCAGTTTGAACAACCATTAACCACACATATTCGTGCGCCGGTTTTGGTTGCTGTCTTTTGGCTGCCCATTTGGGTGAACAAAGCCGTGGGTTAAGTGTCGCGACGTTTCTTCCAATGCTGGACAGAAATCGCAAACAGAAGACGTATCGGAAAGCATAACTAGCAGGCGTCCAAGCCATCTATGCTATTTGTATTCAATACAAAGCTATGATGTTGATATCCGATGCGGAAAATGTGCCCTGAAATCGTAGAGTATCCTCAACATGGAAGGACCATGTTTCTCAACTGTACACCGTCCGTTCGAAAAAGGCGTACACCACGTGGTTAGAGAATGAGTCTAGCAATGTAACGCCATAGACGGCGGTAGGGTTGGTGGGAGATCGTAGCATAATGGATCGAATGCTTAGTTGGCAGAGAACGTCTTATCGATAAGCTTTAATCGACCAAAAACAAGACAAGTCAATGTTAGAATATGCAACAGAAAGGACGGTCGTAAATCTATAGAAGGCATTTCCCATGCATGCGTGATGATACCCCATCTTCAATGCTACGGACAGTGGTGATTCGTATTCGAGCCAATACACCACAAATATATATTACCACTTGCGAATAAAATTGTTTTGGGCAAATAAGTGGGATTATCGATTTCTTTCATCTGAACACAGAAATAGGAACATTTTGAATAAGAATTTTGCACCTGAGTGGAGACAACCGGTACCAGGTCGAATGACCTTTTGTACTATTCGATGAAGAAACATGAAATCCATTCCCGTTGTTTGAACGAATGTCCTTCGTAGCTGTCGGATCAGGTAACCGATTTCGTCCATTCATCAAAGAGTAGCTGAATTCACATACCCCACATCGCCTCGTAGACAGTTTCAGGTCTTAGTTGCCCTACACCTAATTTGGCCCACCTGTTGAGCGATTTACCGGTGTGAACACGGATGCATCCGTTAGCTTATTGGAACTACGAGAGAGTTGGGTAAATAATTAAGGTCACCGAGGTGAAATATGTCCAAAGAAACCGACAATTCACCAGACCGTAGGTTTTATTTTAAGCAATCAGTAGGCATGCATTCTGGTTACATCTTTGGGCAACCCATCCGGACGAAGGAGTAGAGGGAAGATTGTAGTGTCAGGAGAAGAGTCATTGTTAAAACAGAATCCATGAGGACTACGGTTGCAAGGATATTGAGTGGACGCTCGATCGATACTGTTGACGACATAGCCACAACACTGATCACCGGTTACGCTGAGTCCGAAGTCTCGTGTTTGATACCCTCATGCCAGGTTTGACGCCCTCGATATTTTTTATCCATTATCTGCCTCGGCATATATCGTACGTCATTGTCATCTATTTGGAGACATGTATAATACATGCCCCAACGAAAGTAATCTATGGAGGTCAACCACTTGAGGTGTGAGTGATCGTGATTATCTAGAACTCTGTCTAACCTCAGCAGCATTGTTTGTCCGGCTTCCCCACCAAACTGGAGACGCATTACACGAGTCCGGAGGTAATACTTCTTTCCGATAACGCTTGCTTTCCCATTATGACAGTTAACACGTGGATGGAGGACGGTGTGATCCATACCTCTATGACTGGCACGAAACCCATACTATTTTTTTCATGAGTTCGACCTTTCAACATTATAATCAACCTGCAATGTAGGACAAATACCAGGAGACAGGATATTTTAGGGATTATTGATGCAATCACAGCATGAGCGTTTTTTGAAGATGGGGTAACCATCAACCCCCTTAGTAACCCGATTTAAAAGAAACAGCATTGTAGTTCGTTTGACAATCGAACTCCATTATCCTTAATTCTGTTTCCCAACAGGTGGCTCGCATAAGATGGAGTCGGTCTTGTATGTTTCCCA